AAGGAAGGAAGGAAGGAAGGAAGGAAGGAAGGAAGGAAGGAAGGAAGCCAATTAAAAAAAAAGAAACCTGTAATATTTTGGAGGAAAATTGAAGCCAAAAATAGGCTGACATTATAGGACATACCTGCAATCCTAGCCGAATGCTGGGTCTGGAAGATCAAGAACTCCAGGTGCTTGGTACTGAGCATGCCAGTCTGAGTTCCATCTCTGAAATCCATCTGTGGAAGGAGAAAACCAACTCCAGCCAGCTCTCTTCTAACAGGGCCAGTCTGGGGCACGCTGTGAGTTCCAGACCAACTTAGGCTACACAGCAAGACACCTTTCTCCAGAAAAACCCAAACATTTCCAAAGGCAGACTTAACTTTGCAGGGGTTCTAGCTGTTACTCTGGCTGGCTTTATACTCTGGGTTCAAACAATCTACTTGCTTCTTCTTGAGAGCTGGGAATTTTAAATAAAACAAGATAAAAGGGATCACATTCTATGCTGTTTAATGTGTTTATGTCCAGAGCGACAAATCTAGAGACAGAAAGGGAATGATTCTCAGAGCTGGGGTTTTGGAAGGATGTGGGGACTGCTACATGTGTATTAAGACTCTTTTTTTCTTTTCTTTCTTTTCTTTTGTTTTTTTTTTGTTTTTTTTTTTGTTTTTGTTTTTCGAGACAGGGTTTCTCTGTGTAGCCCTGACTGTCCTGGAACTCACTTTGTAGACCAGGCTGGCCTCAAACTCAGAAATCTGCCTGCCTCTGCCTCCCAAGTGCTAGGATTAAAGGCGTACGCCATCACTGCCTGGCTCACTTTTTTTTTTCTTTTTAAGGTAATAAAAATGTCCTAAAATTGATCGCAGTGCTGGCTGTACTCATATTCTAAAAACCTAGTGCTCTTACTACCACTCAGGGTGAGGTGGGAAGATTGCCATGAATTTGAGGCCAGCCTAGGCTACTAAATAAAATATGTCTCAAAGAAAGCAACAGAGCTGAGGATAAGGCATTGTCATTATTATTAAAATTTTGTAGACAAGTTAAATAGCACTTTAATTAATAACCAAACTCAATTAGTGAATTGAAAACAAGTGGAGGTAAGTTTGAGGAACTAGAGAGATGGTTTAGTGGTTAAGAATGAATACTGTTTTTTCAGAAGATCTGAGTTTGATTTGAAGCACCTTTATCTGGTGACCTAGAACCTCTAAAGAAGTTTAGTTGTAAAATATAATAGGCAAGTGGGTTACCTTTTTTTTTGTGGGCGGGGCTGTGACCAGATAACCAGATGTTACTCTGGACAGAAACAGTGGAGAGGCCAGTGATTTGGGGCACTTTATATGCTCTGTTTAGTGACAGTGAGCCTTATGAGCATGTAGAGGGGAAAGTCCCACAGAGAGAAGAAAGAGCACATGCCAGAGTGGGCAAGCACGGGCTCATCTAGAAATGGCTGGGCGTGTGTGGCTGGGGTTGTTGTGAGCATGGCAGGAAATATTGTCAGAGAGTTGACAGAGAGAAGTTGAGTCTTATAGATCATAATGAAGACTTTGATCTTGAGGGAGATGAGAATACAACTGGTGTTAGAAGTTTAATTCACAACAAATTGAAATTTTGGAGCTGAGAATGAAGCTATGTTTGCTAGCAAGTTTGAGATCTTGAGTTTGATTTTCCGTCCAACAAAACAAAACTGATCCTTAAAACTTTTTTTTTTTTTTAAGACTTATATTTATATATCTATGTGTGTGCACCAAATGGTTGATTGCAAATGCCCATGGACGCTAGAAGAAGGTGCTGTCCTCTGGAGCTGAAGTTACAGCCATTTGTGAGCCACCTAATCAGTGTGCATTCTGGGACCTGAACTCAGGGCGTGTGGAAGAGGAACAAGTGCTCTTAATTGCTGAGCCATCTTCTGGCCCAAAAACTCTTTGATTCATTTTTATAGTTTTATTAGTATATTCTGTTAATGTTATAATATGTCTTCTTACTTTTTTTGAAATAACACTTTTAACTAAAGAGAGACACTAAACTATCTGTATATTGCAGATTTCATGCAGAAAGAGCCATTGGTATCATTACCCACATCCTACCTGAAGATCATCTTCTTTTGGCTTCTTCAAAGAGGGTGAAAGGTACCTTTGTGATCCAGTCTCCAATGGTTGTAAATTGATATGTGGCATAAATAAAATAAGGCTGCTAGATTGTATGGATATATGACTAAAATAGTTCCCTCAACTCTGCTTCACCTCTTTGATACAGCATTGTTGTTTGTTCATGTGTCTTCCTCCTGCTCTCCATTCCTTTCCTCTGAGTATGGCAGAGAGTGATGTAGGCTAGGCGGTTCCAGTGTCACAGTAAACTCAGGGCAGTTCCACAGGCTGGCTTACTTACAGTGCGGCATTCTTTTTTCTCAACTTGTAACTTTTCTCGTAATCCTCATCAATGCTTTCTCTTAATGCACTGATTCTGTTTTGACTGGATCACCTTTGTGGTACTTGTGTGCAGGTGGGTGAGTCTAACCCCAATACTGCGTTATCTTAGTTCAGTTTAACACCAGCAATTAAGTTAGATAGTAACGAGAAGAAATAAAGTTACCCAAAGCCTCACTAAAGCTGAATCACCATTTTGCTGATGACTTTAGTCCTTTCTTTCTTTAAAAAAGGTAATAAAGGCCCAGTGAGATGACCAAGGGCTGAGTGGCTGGCTGCCAGGCTTGTAGCCTAACGTCAGTCCTGCCGCACACGAGCAGGAGGGCTCCACATACAGGAGGTGGAGAGCTCACTACCTCCGTTGTTTCCTTACCTCTGTGCGCATGGCCGCACGCACACAAATCAATGTTGGGGGGAAAGTTAGCAATTCTTCAGCTTTATAACCTGATATTTTTTGCCTCTTATATCATGAGCATTTTTCCATTTTAATACACATAGGGACATACTTTTCCTCTAGGCTCCTTAATCTGTCCTCTGGTATTGAAACTGTTTTAAATGTTTGTTTTTTTTTTTAAATGCTGCCACAAGGTAGCTTTCTGTTCACTATCTTTATACAAATCAGTGTTAAGAAATTAAATTAGCTGGTGATATCTATATTCTTAAGATTTTGTATTGGGTTTGAAGTCCTGGAATGGAACTTTGAAATTAAAGTGTCTTTTGGCCTGATTGGGTTGGTCGAGTAAGAGGAAGGAAGCTGGGTTTTGTTTTTGCTTTCTCAGTTATGTTTGGTTAGAGAGTTTGTTTTATAAAGGCTGGTTGCAGAATTGTCAGACGTGCTTAAAGCATTCCTTGGCGGTTGGATAACTTTAACTTTCATGTCTCCTATAATTTTACTCTTTATTTTTTGTTTATTTATTTGTCTGGTTTGTTTTTTTGAGACAAGGTCTCATATAGTTTAGGCTGCCCTTGAATCAGTTTTGCAGCCTTGGGCTCCCAGTTGCCGAGGCTAGCCTTAAACAAACTCCCAGTCCTGCTGCCTTGGCCTCCCGGTTGCATTCAAGACCATTCCCAAACAAAGCAAAGTTCCATCTACAAAAGGCAGCAGGCTAACACAGTAGAAGCTGATTCTGCAAAATAATCTAAGGTACAGACACCATTTTCCCCTTGATTTAAATGAATAGTTTGTATAAATAGAACTTTCCCAAAAGTGTACTGTTGAAGGAGTCATGGGACTGACCACAGCTGTACACATGTGGAATCTCAGCACTAGAAAGAAGTTGAGGCAGGAAGATTGCCGTGAATTCAAAGCCAGCCTGGTATAGATCAAGATCCCAAGGAAAAAAAAAACCCACAAATGTGGAAAGCTTTGATCTTGGCCAGTCCTTAACCACAGTCAGTTATGTATTCAATACTCAGTAAATACTACAGTCCTTAATTTTCAGTTAAATGTTGGGCCCTTGGGAAGTGGGTTTGAGGGTTGTTGATGTGTGGCTTTCTTGGTCCAGCACTGATTTTAGAGGAGATTGCAATTGACTGTCACAACAAGGAGACGGAGCAGAGGCTGCTTCAGGAAGCACATGACCTGCACTTGTCCTCACTGCAGCTCGCTAAGAAAGCGTTTGGAGAGTTTAATGTACAGACTGCAAAGCACTATGGTAACCTTGGAAGACTTTATCAGTCAATGAGAAAATTTAAGGTAAAAAGGCTTTATATTCTTTATTTCTGAATTCTTTATTAAGTAAATTTAAAGTAATAAATCTTCAGTAATCTTAAATAATAAAGCATACAATTGCTTTACCTAACCCCAAAGGAGCTGAGAAAATAGCTAGTGTAGAAACCCTGCAGTAAGATTAAAAGTGAGATTACAGAGACAAGACCGTGACAAAAGGTTTCAGATCCAAAAAGCTGGTGTTATTGTAGACAGGCTCAGTCATAGCTCTTAGAGCAGTATGTTCAGGTCTTAGCAGAAGGTCTAACCTATAATAAGTATTCAGAGATGCCAGATTCTAGTAGTGACACTAGAGTTAATTTTATAGCTATTAAGAATTAGGAACTACAAAATCTAGCAATACACTTAAACTAATTTTCTTTCGGAATTTTCGGTTTTAGTTAATAATAATAGTACATTCCTTTAAGTTTAATACTTGAAAGGCTGAGGCAAGGGGATTATTAGTTTGGTGCCAGCCTGGGCTATATAGGAGCTCTAGCACCTTCCACCCCCTTGTCTTTCCATATCACCACAGCTTATGCATGTCATTAGGCAGTAAAATCAAAGAACATCATATACCTTTTCCTAAAGCTGCTGATAAAAAACAATACTGGTTTTGGTAATTTGCACTAAATTGATGGCAGTGATGGCCCTAAAGCCTAAGGTGATAAAGGTAGAAATTATATGGCATTCTAAGCTAGGAGTGGGGATACATGTCTGCAGTCAGGTATACATGCACATGTCTTCGTAAGTCAATACCACCTTAACAAGTTAAGTTAATTTTAGGGATATAGTAACTCAAATTATTACTATTATTTGACAGGGTCTCACTGTATAGATCTGGCTGTCCTAGAAATCACTATGTATAGACCAGGCTGGCCTCAAACTCAGACTGGTATGCCTCTGCTGGAATTGAAGGTGTATGACCACCCACCTTCATATTCGTTTCAGGAAGCTCTTTACTGCTCTTTAAAGATTTTGTTTATTTATTTGATTTATATGGGTACACTGTAGCTGTCTTCAGACACACCAGAAGAGGATATCAGATCCCATTACAGATGGTTGTGAGCCACCATGTGGGTGCTGGGAATTGAACTCAGGACCTCTGGAAGATCAGCCAGTGCTCTTAACCACTGAGCCATCTCTCCAGCCCTTTACTGCTCTTTTTTATTTTGATGGGTTTGTTGTTTTTGTGACAGCATCTTGTCTATGTAGCCCAGGTTGGCTTTGAATTGCCAGTCCTACTGCCTCTGCCTGCCTGTGGTTGGAAATACAGACATGTATTCCCACACCTAGCTTAGAATGCCTTAGGCTTTAGGGCCATCACTGTTATCAGCTTGGTGCAGATTACCAAAACCAGTAATGTTTTTCATCAGCAGCTTTCGGAAAAGGCATGTGATGCTCTTTGACCTTAACTTCCTAATGACATGCATAAGCTGTGGTGATATTTAGAACAAACCTACCATTGAGGAGAATTGTCCTGAGAAAAATCTAATGTTCCACTTGGCCTGTTTTTTCAGGAAGCTGAAGAAATGCATATAAAAGCAATTCAGATTAAGGAGCAACTCCTTGGTCAAGAAGATTACGAAGTGGCCCTTTCAGTGGGACACCTGGCATCTCTGTATAATTATGACATGAATCAGTATGAAAATGCTGAGAAACTGTACCTGCGGTCAATAGCTATTGGTATGTTACCTTTCTGTCTTCCTCAGGGCTCTAGAGAGCATGTCTGTGCTCTTAGATCCGCTGACAAGTGTGTCCCTCACCAGGCAGCCAGAGCTGAGCACAGAGCCTCCTGCAGTCTCCTGTCAGTCTCTTCCTCCGCACTGAAGCCAACAAGCAGGGTGTGTGGTAAAGGCCACCATTTAAGGTGTGCACCTGCTGCTGCCCCTGAGCCTCATGCCATCTGCAGGTCTCACATCTTTACCTTACTGCATTGCTGCATCACGGTCACTTGGTCACTTCCATGACTAAGGAATGTTATACTGGATTTGTGTGTCATCATTATCTAGTCTTCGATGAATAAACACACAGAGTGTTTGCATTGTTGTCATTTGACAGTATTAACTCATTGTATGAAATTGCTGTTGAGGTCATTTTGAATTGTCTGGTATTGTTGATTCAGGAATTTCTTCATATACTGTAACTGAGCCCTCTTGGTCACCTGTGCTGCAAGGTCACTCATCCTGTGGCTTGTTTTCTTGAGAGCACCCGGAAAGGATGGTTCATTTTATTTTAGTTAGTTGGCATTGTCACGGGGACTTGTAGCTCCTGCTTCCTCCTAAGTGCTGGGATCCAGGCATGTGCTACCACACCCAGCCCAAGGACACCTGGGATTTTATCGAATGCCTTTTTGTCTTCTTTTAATTTATCATTAGTACCTTTTAAATTTCGTTTGAGGGATTTTGTTTTTTCTACCAGTTATGAAGGCACTCTGCTAAAAGATCATCCTCTGGACACTTCACTGTGTTCATGTTTTGATCTGCAATCCTAAAATTAACTTGTTCATCTTAGAAGAAATTTTCTTATTTCTGTGCATAAATATAGTTGACTTGGGACCATTTCTTACTAGCCTGTCCTTTCCCCTTTGCTGTCTCTGTCACAAACAGTGGTCCATATATTTGAGTGTTAACCATTATATGTTGACTTACTTGATAAATCCAAGTAGTGGAAATGCTAATGTTCTTAGAATCAAAAATTCATAGGTAAGTATTTTCCTTGTGATGTGTAGTCCTTAGCTTCTTCTACCTCATCCTCAGCATCTGCTTTGGGTGACCAGTCTCATTTGTTTATGGTGTATTTTTCTATTTATGATTTTACACATGTGCACATGAATAAGTATTTTCTTATATTCCCTATTATATTTTCTACAAGATAAGAGTCTTGAGATGTCTCTGTGCTGCTGGGTTTTTCTGTTGCTGTGACAGAAGCACCATGACCAACGGCCGCTTGGGAGGAAAGGGTTCATTTCAGCTCACACTTAGGTCACACCCATCATTGAGTGACGCAGTGGCAGTAGCTCAAGGCAGGAACCACAGAGGAACTCTGCTTGCTGACTAGCTTACTGGCTCACTCGTGTCTAGCTAGTTTTCTCTCATAGCCCAAGATACTACCTGTGTAAGGTACCGCGCACTATAGCCTGGCTTTTGCACATCAGTCATCAGTCAACATATCTTGCAGACAGTGACTACAGGCCAAACTGATCCAAGCAGTTCCTCAGTTTTCTTCTTCCTAGGTGTGACTACAGAGTTGTATCAACTTTTTTTTATTTTCTTGGTTTTTCGAGACAGGGTTTCTTTGTGTAGCCCTGGCTGTCCTGGAACTCACTCTGTAGACCAGGCTGGCCTCGAACTCAGAAATCTGCCTGCCTCCTAAGTGCTGGGATTAAAGGCGTGCGCCACCACCGCCCGGCCAAGTTGTATCAACTTGAGAAGCAAAACTCTGTGGCCAGTAGTGGGGCACACCTTTAATTCTAGCTCTCAGGAGGCAGAGACAGACAGATCTCTGGGAGTTGGAGGCCAGTGTGGTCTACAGATTGAGTTCCAGAGCAGCCAGGGCTACATAGTGAAGCCCTGTCTTGAAAAGCCAAAAACCAAAACAAAATTAGTTAGAAATGATAGTGCATGCCTTTAATCCCAGTACTGGAGAGGCAGAGGCTGTGATTAGATCTTGAGTTTGAGGCCAGCCTGGTCTATATAGTGAGTTCCAGAACAGGCAGGGCTACACATAAAGATTCTGTAAATCCTCCATATTACTTTAAAATATCCTTAAAATCATTAGTCCTAAACCTGAACTTTTAGACTGGTAAAGCTTTTGACTAGGCTTATCAACCTAGATGACTTGGATTCTTTCTGGAGAACTCACATGATAGAAGGAAAAGAGATTCCTGAACGGTATCCCCAGGCCTCTACTCACGTGCTATAGCTCGAGCACCTGAGTACACACAAACATGCACGTGAATTAAGTACACACTTTTTTTAAACCTGTGAAATTTATTTTTGTTTTCTTGTAAAGCCAACTCCTTGAAGTCTTAGAAATGTCGCAGGGATGAGAGTAGTTAAGAGGCAGTGGTAGAGGGACTGTATCTGTTTCCTTCCATAGGACTAAAACCACGCCAGCCTACTTAAAGAATAGAACCCATGCCAGGTGGTGGTGGCGCATGCCTTTAATCGCAGCACTTGGGAGGCAGAGGCAGGGGGATCTCTTGAGTTCGAGGACAGCCTGGTCTACAGTGTGAGTTCTAGAATGGCCAGGGCTACACAGAGAAACCCTGTCTCAAACAAAAAGCCAATTATATTGAAATTTAAACAAAACATTATTGTAATATTTGATCTACGTCTTTTTTATGTTGCTTTAGGGAAGAAACTGTTTGGTGAAGGCTACAGTGGACTAGAATATGATTACCGAGGCCTCATTAAACTTTACAACTCCATTGGGAATTATGAGAAAGTGTTTGAGTATCACAACGTTCTGTCTAACTGGAACCGGTTGCGAGATCGACAGTATTCAGTGACCGATGCCCTTGAAGACGTCAACAGCAGCCCCCAGTCCACTGAAGAAGTGGTGCAGTCCTTCCTGATGTCTCAGAATGTTGAGGGACCAAGCTGCTGAGGAACAGCCTCAGCTAACAATTACCTTTTCCCAGATTCCAGGGAATTCATACTGTGAAATCAAAACCATGTTGTTTTTAGGGCTGGCATTTGCATTGAAACACTGGTCCAGTCCATCGAAGACCCTATTTCGGGTAGTCCTGTATTGCAGTTCCTATAGAATAAGCATATATTGAGTTATATCAGCATGTGCCGCGTGTGTAAGTAGTCCCACATTCTCACCCTAGTAGAACAACAGGAAACCTTTTTTTTTTCTTTTTAAAAAATAATTCGTTTTTCAGAAAGTCTGAAAGAAAAAAAAAAGAACCCCTAAATAAAACTATTTAAGAGTTTAAAAGAGTTGCATTCTTATTATGTAAGGATGATTTCAAAAACTTTTTAACATATAATTAATTCTTCCATGTGGAGGTATTCAATACTGTATTGTAAGGAAATTTTATGGAAAACTTTATATGCAGTATAGAAAAGTAACACAGGTACTAATAAGGTGGGGAGGAGCACCCTGATGTAGTTTTGGCCATCTTTCCCAGATCAGGGCATACAGCCATTCCAGAACTCTGTCTCAGTGACAGACTGTCAGATTCATCTAACTGGACCAGTGTTGATCTGTCAGTCACAGAACACTGGGTAGACCAGCAGTTCTAACTCTGTTTTTGGTACCATGGTAAGATGCTCCAAAGTGTTTGCTAACAGGACCAGAAGGATCTAAAAGGACCAGGCAACTGTGGAAGGTGTTACTTGGACCAGAGGCTTTCCATTGTTCTTTAGTGACTGCACTTGCCTTTTCCAGTAGAATGATTTCATTTAGGTAGAATGCAGAGTACTAATGCAAGAGTTTTATATTTGCATCATAGATACCAAACGATGGGATGTGGGTAACGTCAGTAGCAAATCTTTAGTCATGGTGCATAGATGGCAATGCCTGCCATAAGCACATCTGTAACCATCTCTGTAGCCACCTCATTTTAATCTCTGCCCTGATACTCCATGTAGTTAACAAATATACTGGCTAAGAGTCATGAAATAAGTCATGTTCAGAAGAGAATTTTAGGTTTACTGTATGGTTTGTGGGGATTAAAAAGATGAATGCACACAAAAGAAAGTCTTAGAAAATTCATCATTGAAAATAATAGTCATTTTAACCGAAATACGTGACTCCAATTGAAAGATCCTCCAGTTACAATGTCTGTTTCATTGATTGGGGCTTTGATTTTTCTAAGTTTTTAAAGCTAGCCAGACTTTTTAATGTGGAGCTAATACTCAGTTCCTAAGTTATTATAACATGTAACAAAAAGAAACAAAAAGATCTTTTGCTGTTACCTCAATTCTTAGCACAGTGGCCCATCTGGTCTGGTACCTCTGTAGTTAAGAATCTGGGTTTCTCCCCTATTTTCAGGGGCTTCTGACTTGGCTGTTAGATACACTACTCCTGCTGATGCTCGGAGTATTAAGTGTGTGGGTGTGTGTCAGATTTTGTTCTTTTAGCATGCTTGTTGGGTGAGGGGAAAACAGTTATCATGGAGAGTACAGAAACATTACTTAAGAATTTAGCTTAAACATTTTTTTTAACTTCCCAATTTTAACTTTGTTTGAAATTGCGATTTTCAGTCTTAGTGATAAGCCAGTGTGGTTAGGTCTTTAGAAGGAACCTTAGTGAGGATGCCCCCAGCAAGTGAGGCAAGCTCTCATCCTGACTCAGCAGCTTTGGGTTCAGAGACTTGAATTTATTCCTCAAACTGAATTTCCTTTAAAATTCTTCAAAGAATTCAGTTTGGCGCACTTGTAGTTTATACAGCTGGCTCCCCTCTCTTAATTACAGTCCCGTGAGAGTCACCTTCATTACCAGGTAGTCTGTGTGACCCAGGAGTAGCATTTCTCAGTTACTCGGCGGGAGCCTCCCTCACAAGCCTATATACTTAATACCTCCAAAGACAGTTTGAGGATAGGCTTTTTGTATACTTTTATTGGATATCTAGAGTCCTGTGGTATGTTTGTGGTCTAGGAATGTCATGGTAAATTGTTTTTCAATAAATGTTTTAAAACTTAAGTTTCCACATGAATTATTTTTATTTAATCTTCATTTTTGGTGTTGTGCACATACAGTGTTTTGTAGTCCGATAACTCGTCTTCCTTAGCTCAGTTCACACTTAACTCATCCTCAGTGATAAAGTAACCTGATCTTAGAAGCCTGTGATTACAGGGTGATGATGTCAGCTGACAACCAGCCCCAGCCCCGCCTCCAGCACGTCCTTGTCAGCCACTCCGTCTGACCACTCCTTTAATACAGTTTTCTGTAAGTTAGTAAAGGTTAACCTAATGCCCACACTCTAACACTCTGTCTTAGTGATATGACTTGATATGTTCTGATTCTAGTGAAAATATTCCCCTAATCATTTCAAGGCTGGGATTCATCCCTCAGCAAGGTTGATGTAGTGAGACGAACACTGCCGTGATTTTATTTTATAAATGTATTAAAGCAGGGTGTGGTACATATGTCAGTGTTCAGGAGGCTGAGTGAGGTAAGGTGTTGAGTTCCAGGCAGCCTGGGCTACAAAGGGAGATCTGTCTCCAAACTCAAAGAAAAAACTGAATAAAACTTACCTCAGAATAAACAGTAGCTTGCATGTAATTTTACATAAGGGCCTATGATCTCATCCTCCCCTGAATTCCCTATTCCTACAGTCTGGTGCTATTCCATTTGGGGGCATGAGGAGCTTGTGCATGTGACCCAGGTGAGTCACGATTCCATTTAATAGCGCCAACTGAGTTTTTAGTGCACAATACTTATGGGTCCTCAAACTAGACTTTACCCTGAGGATTTAGACCTTTCTCCATCACTGTACATTGTTTTTATAAACAGCTCACCTGCACCTGCCCAGGTACTGCTGCTTGTGAGAATCAATGGTTTGAATGGAGCCCTTTGTCATAGACCATGAGAATGGCTCATCAGGACAGGAAGCTGCACGTCCTGGCACAAGGTTCAATCCCAACTCCATGGGAGGCTGAGACAGGAGGATCGCTTGAGATTCCCCCAGGACAGCTAAGTAAGAAGACCCTGTCTCAAGAAATGCAGTAGTGTGGCAGCTGCCAGCTTGGAAGTCTTGAGAGACCATTGAACTTGTCCTTATAGACTAAACATGATGCAAGCCTTTGGCCAAAACTGCAAATTCAAAGAATGTTTGCTAAGTAACGGGTGATGTTAGCTGCCACCTTTTTTCTTTTTTTAGAGTTTTTAGCCTTGCTGCTTCCAATCTTCTTTTTCTGGATGGCAAAGTTACTACTGGAAAAAAAAATATTTATAATTACTGAATTTTAAGAGTTTTATTTTGTTTTAGAAATTAACACTTTTCACCTCTTGGCTTTAGAGGACTTAAGATTAGCTGGAAAAAAGATTTAAGTAGAACGTTTGGATTAGTGTACAGAACTTAACACTAGTATTTCTTTTGTCCCCAAATCTCAGGAATGTTTTAGGCAGAAAACTGGCTTTTCCCTTGACGGTGATTTGAAGGAGAGTGCTTTAGGATGGATTAAATAACATGATTATTGATTAAAAATAACATGATTATTGATTAAATAACATGATTATTGATTGCAGTTCTAGGTATCTGTAGCATGAGTGGCCTTAATGAGTTTGTTGAAGTGCACATGTTTTTCAAAAGTAAAATTTAAGATTAAATATATATGCTATATATAGATATCTAGGAAACTTGGTTGTGGTGCACAAAGTGTTGAATCACTGAATTGCAGGTACCATTTGTATAACATCACTTGTTTCTGTATATTCCTTTTATGGGAAAATATGTTGCCATGGTGACTAAAACTTTTCAATTTAGTTTTACTTTTATGTGAATGAATGCTACCTTTTATTAAATATTACCAGGTCAGTACTATTTTTATACCTTATTAAGTAACAGGGGTTTTAGTTTAATAGACTGAAAATAAAAAGAAAAACCCTTAATGGAATAATTACAAATGAATCACTAACATTCTTTACAGGAAAATCCCCACGACTAGTGCCGCAGTAATTTCTATAGTAATATCTCTGGTCATTATTCAATTCTGAAGACAGCTCATTGAGTCAGAACAGCCTTTCATACCATTTTCACTTGTAGTGCTCACCATTATTTGTAACTATTAAACCACACTAAGTATGTTTGTAACCAGCATTGTGATATATATCATGTACTTGTATTGCTAAATGAATTATTGACCTAATAAATAGTGTTCCTGCATTCATAGTGTATGTTTCCAATTGAGTTCTGATTGCTTTGGGGTAGAATTTTAGTTTTTTAGTTTGTAGACCATGTGAGAGAAACTTGGAGCTAGAACAACAGTGCTCCTGTTCAAGAAAAAGTAGCTGTGCTGCAGAGGCTCACAGCAGATCTGCCGCTGTGCTCACGGCAGCCCCTGGCATTCATTGACATCTTTAGAGGAGAGTGCCGGTTGCTCTTCAGCAGCCTTCCTACTACAGCAAGCTGTGGATGGTTAAGACACTGGGTAGAGTTCAGTTGAAACTATGACAGAATTCTCCAGTCCCCCCCATATCTGGGTTTCAGTTCCAACTTTCCCTCCATTGTAAGGATTTTAACCCTCTTTTCCACATACGAAGTAGATCTTTGAAAGAGAACCCTACCATGAAACAACCAGTCAAAAGGATTACAGGAAATGAGGCCACATTTTAAATGTTTTGAAATATGTGTCTGTCTCTTCAGGGCAGAAGTGGTGTCATGTACCTTGGAGCTGGATGTCCGTGCAGGTGGTTGTGAGCCACCATGACACATAGGGAAGATGTTGGGCACCAAACTCTGGTCCTCAGAAGAACAGCTTCTCACCTACTTTACCATTGTGCTGTCTTCCCAGCCCAAAGGCCTCAGTTTGAAATTAATGTGAAGCCAAGTACCTTGGACAGAAACTTGCTCTAGCCTGCACTGTACTGCTTGCTTTCTCTGCAATATTAAATTAATTTTTTTTTTTTTTTTTTTTGGTTTTCGAGACAGGGTTTCTCTGTGCAGCCCTGGCTGTCCTGGAACTCACTCTGTAGACCAGGCTGGCCTTGAACTCAGAAATCCACCTGCCTCTGCCTCCCAAGTGCTGGGATTAAAGGCATGTGCCACCACCGCCCGGCTTGCAGTATTAAATTTACACATCTGTCTTTGTCACGAGTGCAGCATGTGACTCCAAATTTTGTTAGAGCACTTCCCATGTAGTCTCAATAGCCAGTAATCCTCCTGATATCTGTATTATTTAACAAATAGGATATAGCTTACTCTGAGATAGATACGTCTAAGTATATTAGCAAACTACAGATACCAAATATAGAGACAAATTCAAGGTGGTCTGCATGTAGTTACAGTGCATGAGGATTGAGTCCCAAGGCACCGCCTCCCAGATGAACACAACCTGGCGAGGGTATGGAGGAATTGGTTCCTGTGCACCTAATTCCTGTGGGAATGTGAAATGCCCAGTGCTATCCAAAACAATATGGAGGATCCTCAAAAACATTGAACTATATTTGCCATGTGATCCAGCAATTCTACTGGAAGGATTTCAAACTATCTTTACGTCGAGGTCTATAGCAGCATTAACAGTCAAAGAAGGACCTCAAATATCTGTTCCTGTATGAACAGATAAAATGTGGCATCCTAAAAATGAAACCTATTTTTTTAAAAGAAAGTATGGACTGACAAGATAGCTCAACAGGTAAGGATGCTTGCAACCAAGCCTGACAACTCAGATTCCAACTCTCTGAAAGACTCCCTCAGGTTGTCCTCTAGCTAACATGCACCTTGCCACACCTCCCTCTCACCGATAACATACATACATATATATATTACAATAACATTCATGGACGTCCATATGCTAAGAAGCCAAACAGCTGAGGGAAAGTCAAGACACATGAGGATCAGTTCATGATCATTCTTGGCTACATACCAAGTTGGAAGCCAGTCTAGGCTACATGAGACTTTGTCTCAAAATGACAACAAAGCCAAATAAAATGACCATATAATTTCAGTGTTCACAGAAGCTGTGGGGAAGGGAAAATGGGAAATGGTTGTGTTGTGTTAACAGTTTCCATTTCACACCATGAGGAAGTTATAGAGACTGGCTGCACAGAAAATGGAAACATAATTAGAATAAAAATGGTTAAGATGTGACACATTGAAGGCAGGAGTATAATATAGTATGTCTTATGTATATTTAGGACTTTGTTTTTTTACATTTAGATTTCTTTTTTTAATGCTTTTAGTCTCTCTAGGCAGGAAGAGGTGTCTCAATGGGTACAGACCCTTGGCATGAAGCCTCCAGTACTCACATTGGAAGAGAATCAACTCCTGTAAGTCGTCCTCCACAAGCATGCCCTTGTAAGTGTGGGCACGCAGTCAATAAAGTACAAAACATTTCTCTTGAAATTTGCCTGGCAGTTAAGTCAACCATGAAACATTTGGAAGAATAGCCATGAAGACCAGGAGCCAGTGTGCACTCTAAGTACTTGAGAAACAGGAGCAGGGGGTGGGGTGGGATTGGGTTTCTATGCCAGTCTACACAGTGAGTTTCAGTCCAGGCCAGAGCTACACATACAAATAAATGTAAAACAACTACAACAAAAAACAGTTTCTTTCCAAATCTGTTACTTCCAATTTTGTTTGGAAATAGTTTCCTCAGTTGGTAAGAGTTTGTGCTTGCTCTTTTTAATTAAATTTCAACACAAAATACAGAACTAATCCAGAAAATAGAATAGAAATTTCAGGAAATAGACCCAAGTAAGCTAAGAATTTGATATAGAAGAGCTATATATGGCCATATAAGAGATGTCTTTGCCCTAAATGCTACAGTCTATAAATACATACACACACACGCCCCTGGACAAGTGTCCAATCAATTGAAAAGCACACACACGCTGGATTCTTACTTCACAACATCAACCAAAACTAAGCTTAGGTGGATCAGAGGTTTAGAACAAACACTGAAACTGGAATGCCAGGAGAAAATGTGAATTTTAAATATTCTCAATGAAGATATCCTTCCAAAGTCATTAAGGCCCATAAAACAAAAGACATTCTTAGCTATAAAAAAGGCAGTGGTGTGTGTGTGTGTGTGTGTGTGTGTGTGTGTGTGTGTGTGTGTGTCTACATCCAAGAGAGGAGGAGGGCACTAAAAACTTAAGAGTTGAGAAGCCTTGATGGTGGGTTCCTGGCTCCCTGTGTGCCAACCCTGCAGCCTGCTTCCCTGTTCTGCCTTGGGGAAATCTAGCTCACAAGTTAGACACAGAAGTCTGATGAGGAGGGACACAAAGCCCACCCACCCCCTTCTGAACTACAAGTGTGGAGAGGAGAGTTGTTACGGAGAGACTGGAGCAGCCATGCGGGCTGGGCTCGGAGTGGGCTGGGCGGTGATGAGCCATCACAGTTCCGGTAAGGAGCCTTTTCCACGTCACTTTAGGGAGGAGCTGGAAATCCGGCTCAGTTGGTAATGGTGCGCACCTAGCGTTCATGAAGCCACGGGTCTCATCTCTAGCACTGCTTAAACTAGGTATGAATGTGATGCCTTTAAGTCCAGAACTAGATGGGTAGGGGCAGGACAATCGAAAGTTCAGGTTCAATCTTGACTACTTCGGGAGTTCAAGGTCATACAATTGCAGGTCCATCTACTTGGGAGGCTAAAGCAGGAGGACCATTTGAACTAGGCTGTCAAAGGCTAGTCTGAACAATTAAACCAAATGTTACACGCCTCCACCCCCCAAAAAATCCCTCAGAGAAGCCCTCTTCTCTGGAAGGCCCCCTCCTGAGGCCTGCGGCCAGGACATTGGTGAGGCTTTTTGGCTTTGATCTTTTGTTTTTGTTTTTCCCTTGGCATTAGCTTTACCATAAGAGCACAGAGAAACATTATCTTAACATATTATCCATACTAACTCCTCTTCCATACAGCTTCCCTAGCTCCTCTCTGACATCCTTACCGCTACCACTACAAAGTCATACTTTGAGTCGGAGACACCTTAGCTGAGAACATGCCACTAACTTTAGGAATAATGCATTCGAGGGCTGAAGCAGTGGATTAGCAGTTAAGGGCACTGGCTGCTCTTGTAGAAGACCTGGGTTCAGTTCCTGGCATCCACATAGCAGCTCACACCGGAACTTGTTAGTTCTTAGTCTAGGGGATTTGGCGCCATCTTCTGGTCACAGAGGGCACAAGGTACACATGCCTTGGGCTTGGAATCAGGCCCACAACACTCAAACATTTAAAACAATCAACCAATCAATCAACAATACATTAGTCTCCCAGTTGTTTACATGTCATGAAAAATGTCAGGCTGGCCAAGATCAGGAGTTAGAGTGTCACTGTGTGCTACCACTTGCAGCCAGTAGGTCATCAGCACCAAGCCTAGTCCCTACACTTCCAGTACAGGAGACACCACCTTTATTCTTGGGGCTTTCTTTTCTCCTCTAGACAGTAGTTGGAAAAAGTGCTGTTTAGGTATACTCTTTCATTTGTTAATTCAACAGAATTTTTAAGTGACTAATACGGTCTGTGCACTATTATAATTGCTTAGGGTTTATCTACTGATAAACAAGTTAGTTGTCTTCTGGCCACATGAAAATTTAATTTAAAAATGTAAAACTTTGTCGGGCAGTGGTGGTGCATGCCTTTAATGTCCTGGCCAGCAGGGCATTAAACAGGGGTCCAGGGAGGTCACCTGAAAGAGAGTGGGGTGGGGGGAACAGGCAAAGATGCAAAGAATGGCAATCTGTCTATAGTCTGATCAAATTGCAATTTTTACTTTTTCACACAGGGATTATATACACAAAAAAGGCAGGATGTGGGGAAGGAGATGACGCAGGAGCGTGGGTATTCGGGGGGAGTATAGATATCTTCCAGAACAGAGTATCAGCTGGGTGAAGGTTCAGGGAACATGTCACTATGACTCGTTCTTATCTAAGTTGGTACTATCCACCAAGGCTACCTATTTACAAGGTCTATGACTATTGACGCTGGCAACTTTCCACCAAAGCTGCTTGTTTACAATAGCTTCTAGCCATCTGTTTCAGTATTTTTCCACAGAGACCCAAGACTTTGTGTTTAGCAGGCGTGTATGTCAGGCCTATTGCTGATTTTTAGGCCTATGGCTGTTTTTAGGCCTTCAGTGTATAAGCAGGGCTGCCCCTGACACTTTAATCCCAGCACTTGGGAGGCAAAGGCAGGTGGATTTCTGAGTTCGAGGCCAGCCTGGTCTACA